AAGGGGGTTTCCCAATTAGACCCGGTGTTTTTTCAAGCAGGCACTAGACGGCACCTAAAGTAATACCTGCCTGGTTATATGTCAGTTTGCATGGGACGCATAACACCCGGGGATGATCAGACCTGTCCACCCGGGCCCGGGTTTCGGGGACCGAGCCGAGGGGGGCGTTGACCCAAAAAATCTCTTCAGGTAAACTCCAGGAAAAACCCGTAGTGTAAAGGCAGGCCCGGAGGGAAGCCCGACTGGCAGGCCAGACAGGCAGGCCAGGCAGGGGGGGGGGGAGGGGTGGAGGGGTGGAGGGGGGGGGGGAAGGGGGGGGCCGGGGGGGGAAGTGGCGGGGGGGGAGGCCGGGGGGGGGGGGAGGGGGGGGGGGGGGGGGGGGAGGGCCGGGGGAGGAAAACGGGGGGCGGGGGGCGGGGCGGGGGGGGGGAGGGGCGGGGGGGGGAGGAGGCCTGTCAAGGGCATAAGCATTGGGGGGGGGGGGGGTCGGGAGGGTCATTACCCCACGCTTGAGGGGTCATACAGCATGCTCAGGGTCATACAGCACGCTCGAGGGTCATACAGCATTGCTCAAATCATACAGGCACTGCTCCCGGGGGATACAGCAGTTTGGGGTATACAGATTGCTCGAATCATTAGCACTGCTCGAGGGTCATACAGCACTGCTCAAGGGTCATACAGCACTGCTCCAATCATACAGCACTGCTCGAGGGTCATACAGCACTGCTTGAGGGTCATACAGCACTGCTCGAATCATACAGCACTGCTCGAGGGTCTCATACAGCACTGCCGAAATTTAAACACTGCTTTAGGGTATACAGCACTGCTCGTCATACAGCATATCGGGGTTAAGCATGCTCGAATCAACAGCATGTCAAGGGTCTACAGCACTGCTTGAGGGTCATTACGCATTGTCGATCATAAACATGCTCAAATATACGCACTGCTCGAGGGTCTACAGCCTGCTGAGTCATACAGCCTGCTCGAGGGGCATACAGCATGCTCGAATCTTTAAGCATGCTGAGGGGCATAAGCACTGCTTGAGGGTCTACAGCATTGCTCGAATATACAGCCTGCTCGAGGGTCATACAGCACTGCTCGAATTTATACAGCCCGCTCGAGGGCTACGCACTGCTCAAAATACAGCATGCTCGGGGGGCATACAGCACTGCTTGAGGGTCTACCATTTCTCGAACATACGCACTGCTCGGGGTCATACAGCACTGCCGAATCATACGCATGCTCAAGGGTATACAGCCTGCTTTAGGGTCATTCGCATTTCTCGAAACATACAGCACGCTCGAGTCATACGGGATGCCGAGGGGTTTCAGATGCTTGAGTCAACGCACTGCTCGAGTCTACAGCATGCCCGGGTCATACAGCACTGCTCCCGGGTCATTTCGCCCCCTGCCCGGGGGCATACAGCACTGCTCCAGGGTCATACAGCACTGTCAAGTTACAGCACTGCTCCAGGGTCATACAGCCCGCTCGAGGGGCATACAGCACTGCTCAAGTCAACAGCACTGCTCGGGGGCATACGCATGCTCGAGGGTCAACAGCATGCTAAGTATACAGCACTGCTCAAGTCTACAGTATGCTCAAGTCATACAGATGCTCGAGTCATACACCCCTGCTGATCATACAGCTTGCTTGAGGGTATTCAGCACTGTCAAATATACAGCATGCTTGAGGGTTTTACAGCACGCTTTAGGGCTACAGACTGTCGAGGGTCTTTCAGCCGCTAAGTATTTCAGCACGCTCGGGTTTCCGCACTGTCGAGGGTCTCAGCACTGCTCGAGGTCATACGCACTGCTCAAGTCATACAGCACTGCTTGGGGTTTTTACAGCATGCTTGAGGGTCCTACAGCACTGCTCGGGGTCTAAAACACGCTCAAGTTTACGACTGCTCGAGGGTCAACAGCACTGCTCGACGGTCTACAGCATGCTCAAGGGGCATACAGCACTGCTCGAGTTACAGCATGCCGAGGGTCATCAGCCTGCTCGAGTATACACACTGCTCGGGGTCATCAGCACTGCTCGAGGGTCTACAGCATGCTCGAGTATAAGCATGCTGGCTACGCATGCTCGAGGGCTACGCAGCTCAAAGGGTATACAGCATGCTGAGATACAGACTCTCGGGGTTACGACTGCTCGAGTCATACAGCCTGCTCGAGGGTATACAGCACTGCCCAGTCTACACCTGCTCGAGGGTCTACAGCACTGTTGAGGGTCTACAGCACTGCCGAGTCTACAGCAAAGTTCAGGGTCTGGTGCTGCTCAAAAATCATAATTATTATAAACATGGGAGAGTGCTAAACCCGTAGGATTGTACAGGTAGGGGGATGGAGGCATTAGGGGGAAAGGAGCACGATCCCAAATTTCCCCAGATCAAATCCCCCCCTTGAGAGGAGGGTCTAAGCAAGTCAGAGGGTTGAGTTAAAAGGGGGGCCCCTCAGCAAGGGGGAAAGGGAAAGTAAGGGCAGTAGAGTGAGACGATGTTGGATCGGTCTTACAGCCTCTCGAGGTATAAGCATTGCTCGAGGATCTACAGTGCTGTCGAGGGTATCAGTGCTGTTCGAGGGTATACGTACGCTTGAGCATACGAGTGCTGGTCATTTCAGCCTGCTCAAAAGGTATTCCGCACTACTCGAGGGTCATACAGCATTGTCAAGCGCCCTCAGCGTGCTCGAGGGTCATGGGCTGTTCAAGGGCATACAGGCGCTTGGTCATACAGGCTGCCGAGTATACAGCATTCTCAAAGGTCTACAGCATACCGAGGGTCTACAGCATATGAGGGTCATACGCTTGCCCCTGCGTCATACAGCACTGCCGAGGGTTACAGTGCTGCTGGGGTCATACAGTGTTGCTCAAGGGTCATTCGTGTTGCTCAAGGGGGCATAAGCATGCTCGGTATACAGCATGCTCAAAGGTCATACGCACTACTTTAGGGTCATACAGCACTATCAAAGGGGTTTTAGTGCTGTCGAGGATTATACAACATGCTCAAGGGTTCAGCACGCTAAAGGGTATACAACACTGCTCGAGGTCATCAGCCTGCTCGGGAAACGGCTGCTCGAGTCGTACAGCACTGCTCGGGGTTTTTTAGTTGCTCAAGGGTTTACATGCTGTTTGCGTCGTCAGCGTGCTTGACGTTATAAAGAGTGAGATTTTCCACAATGATCATTTAAAATATTTCAAGTGATATTGTCTTATAAACTCCCGTGCTAAACAAATATGCAAAAAGGGATATAAAAGAAAAAAATCAAAATTCATTTTTATTTTTAAAAACAATCAAAATAAACCACCCAAACCCACAAAGGGTCATAGTGCTGAAATCAAATTATTATCACTGAAAACAAAGTTATAAGTAAATAACAAAAAAAGGCACAAATACCGTGACTGGAACGTACACAAATAAACCCCCACATAAAAGAGAGAAGCTTACGACGACGCTTCGGTCCGACTTTGGGCCATTTTTAAAAGTCATGGAATGGTCGTTAATGTATGTCGTATGTAGCAAAATTTCCTATGACATTTGCCAAAACAGTTGAAACTGTATCGTAAAAAGGGCTCTTTAAAACCTCAGTGCAGTTTATAGAACTGGGAAAAAAAATCCCAAAATAAGCATGACTTTTTCTTTTGATAATTCCCTTCACCCCTTCCCAAGTGGTGAATTAATGTGGTGAAAAGCTTTTAATCCAGTGTGGGTACTTCTCGTCCCTTTGGGTAAAGCCCCATCACCTTCCTATTTCGAGGTGTTGTATTTTCCCCTTTGTGAAAATAAATAATTCTTGAATCTAAACCATATTATTCAACTTAACTTTTAATTAACTTTATGAGTAAGGGTTAGCATTTTTTTATAAAGCAAAAATTATACCATGGGTTTATGAGGGGTAAGAAAGGTATAAAATACTGACACTTGAAAGTAAAAAACCATGTGCAAATCTGGAAATCTTATTGTGATGTTTCGCCCTCCAGTGGGTTTTAAACAATAAAATTTCCCGGACATAATTGGAAAATGTAGAAATTTACAAAAGATGAGGTAAAAGCCCCCAGCCCTTTGGGGTTAGTGTTCACAGCATTGTGGGGGGAGAATCTGGAGCAAAAGGGAAGAAGATGGGGGTTTATAGGGTCAGTGGATAAGGATGCGCAGACGAGGGCATAGTCCCTGGTAGGGGGGATTTCCCCCGTGGAAGTAGGTCCTTCCCAAAGAGTGGGTTTTAGCAGCAGCGTGAAAAAGGTCTTGTAGAGTCCCCTTTAACCCAAAATTCCCTGATGTTGCAGTAATCGTCCCTCATTTGAGGACTCTACAAGACTTCTTCACGGGTGGCTATAACCATCCTTTTGGGAAGGGCCTTCTTCCACTGGGGACCCGCCTCCGTGAGTGCCTCGTTACTGCCGTCCTTATCCCTGACACCTATATAACCCCCAGTTTCTTGCCTTTTTCTCCCCTTCTCCTCCACCCGAGCTGTGAACACTAACTCCAAGGCGAGGGGGGCTGATTACCTCATCTTTTGTATATAGTTTTACGTCTTCCAATTATGTCCGGAATTTGTATTGATAAAGAAATGGAGGGAAACATCTACAAAAAAGATTCCGATTTTGCCAGTGTCTTTACTTTCACAGGTTGTTGATGCTTTACAGCAATGAGTAACACTAAAACTCAAAGGGGTCTACAAAATCTGGGGAAGAAAAGCAATGAATCTTTTTTTGTAGCAAGCAATCAACCTCCTTTAAAGTTGACAGTAAAAACAAAAGACTAGTGCTAAAAATTTTCAAAAAGTGACAAAAAAAAGAATTATGAGGCAGATACTTATTTCATGAACAAATATCATTTTTGACAAAATTAAAAAAATTTAATGGGATTTTTTTTATTTAGGAGTAATATGGTTCAGCAATGCAGAAATCTTATTAGTGTTAGAAAAAAATTCTTTTCTGTGTTTTCTGCAATGTTTTTAACCCGGAGGAAACTTTAATCTAAATTTACTTACAAAAGTTCTTTAGTCTTTTGTAACCCTCAATGTTTTCTGTTTTTCTTTGGCACAGTTTTTTTTATTTTCAGACTGTGAGCAGACAGTCTTTCTTTTAGAAGTATCTGTATTGTCATATGTAACTTCATCTGAGTCATCATCACTCAAATTTAAATAATGACTTTGATCACTCCCATGAGAGACAACATCTTGGAATGCATCTCTAACCATCTTTAACTGATTTGAATTCCATACAGCTAAGTGACTTTGGCCAGACTTATTGTCCTTGTCTTTAAATTTTTGGCACCCATCAATGTTTTCTTTGAACTGAAAAATTTTTTCCTTTAAACATTCAAGCAAAGATTCCAAATGTTTTATACAAATATTTAATTCATCATGGGACAAATTATTTGTGCCTCTTTCTGGTACAGGAACCTGTACAATTGTTAAAGTCAGTTTTTGTTCAGGCAGATAAGGTCTTGATGTAATCTGAGGGCCGACATCAGCAATAATTTCATATACTTTGCCTCTGTGAATTATAACTTCTAGTCCTTTAATTGGTGCAACAGCCTCTTCAGTATTAAGCTCAGGGCCCAAAGCATTATCTTGACTCGTATTAACTAAGAATTGGTTGCCATCTCTAGGTTCACCAACCTTCAATGTACTATGGAGGTATGCAAAGTCCCTCTTGACATTCCAGTACTTTCCCTTAAACTCCACAACATCAACAATGTCATCTAATTGACACTCTCCTCCTGCATCAGCAAACATGGCCTCTACGTCTATATTCTCAAATGTTTCAGATTCATCATTTTGGAGCTTTCCAGCTTCCCCATTTATCTGCGTCTTTAACTTTATTTTTTCCATGACAGTTTTTAAGATTTCACTGAAGTCAGTCTCAGTTCTTTTAACTAAAGAATCTTGTATGCCACAAAAATCAAGTCCTACCTTTTCTTTTCTCATAATCTGAAATATAAATTAAATAAGTTTAGTTTGCTGTACAAATGCAATTTTGTCCATGTTATCCATGATGTTATATGTGTTCAAAAAAAAGAGTATACATATATGTGTTGTTACTTGTTACAGTTACAAGTGTTACAGCTACATGTGTGTTTGTCATGATTAATAATATTTCATCATTGATATCTGATCATCATTTGTGAAGAAATATTTAATCAGAATTTTAGAATATTTGGTATCAAACATAAATGATAACACATTATGAACATGTATCTTGGACCTCTAGTTTCAGACAAATGGTAAAACCCAAAGATGACAATGAAGCCAAAATATGAGACATTCTGAGATGGGTATACATGTTAATGATGATTATGTCACAATGAGAATATAAAAGCAGAGTGGATGATGGGCTCAAACTGCAGTCTGTTAACTGACAAGTTAAGGTTAAGTAAGGTTTGTCAGGAAACATGACAAGCATTTCCCGATCCTTGTCTTAAGTCATATAATAACCCTCAGCTTTAGCTTTTGGTAATTTGACAGAGGCCTTTAGCTGGCTTACTAGTCAACCCCTTTAAAAATTATAGTTATGATTGTAAACATTAAGTGTTCTAATTGACAGTCTTGACACTTTACCATCTAGACTAACCCGGGCATTTATTAAGAGGCTGAGGTAAGTCTTGACGGTAGAGCACCAGGCTGTCAATTTACGGACCACAGTTTGAGCCCCTCATCCACCCTTCTGTTTATTCATTAACAGTTTATTATAATTAATTTGAGTTTATGTGAATATACATTTACTCTCACCTTTTCTAATTCTGTAATGGGAAAATACTGCCTGAAGATCTGATGGAGGTCAGGCAGTAAGAACTGTAGTGACAGTTCCAGCTCCTGAGTAAAATCTTCATCCAGTTGTAAGGGGAAAGTTCCCTGCTCATGCAGAGTATTTATTATTGACTCAGCAGATTCAGCAAACGTGAAGTGTAGCAATCTGAAGCAGTCATCCTAAAGAACCACTTACTCTCATTTAAAGTTGGCAAACAAATTTGGCATTGTTCTAGTTACAATTACAGTATATGTAACCTATGAAAATAATAAATAGCAAAAATTTACATTTAGCAATGAGAAAAATTTTACATGAAACAGTTAAAAGTGCTGTAGTACTATCAGTATTACAATTAAGTCAGATACAAGAAAATTAGTTTTAATTCTTTCATGTCATTTCACCAGGTTAGCTACCAACATACGTCATTTCTGAACAAAAGTAAACATGCTCAAATGAGTTTCATTACTGTATTTCATTTTTCTTAGATAAAGTTCATAGTGTTTCCATATCCATAACTTATTGTCCATGAAAATGGAGACAAGCAGCTGTTAAAGGACATAATTATGATAGGAGTGAATGGAGACAAATGGTTTTTAATACTTGACGTGCTATTGGAGTGTGAGCAACAGGGATTCAGGGAAACCGGTAGGCTGGACTTGAGTCCTGGAGATGGGAAGTACAGTGCCTGCACTCTGAAGGAGGGGTGTTAATGTTGCAGTTTAAAAACTGTAGTGTAAAGCACCCTTCTGGCAAGACAGTGATGGAGTGAATGATGGTGAAAGTTTTCTTTTTCGGGCCACCCTGCCTTGGTGGGAATCGGCCAGTGTGTTAATAATAATAATAAAACATATATACATACATAAAATATGCAATAATTTTAAAACATCTGAAATTTTGGAAAGTTTCCAAACATAGTCGGGAGATGAAGAACTCATGGAGGATGTAAAGAGAGTGGCATGCAGACGACATAATAGCAAATCAGGGAGCTGTATAAATACACATCAGCTTAAGCAGGGAATAGTTTTTACTTTGGCCACCAGAGGAAAAAGGTAGTGCTAAACACCTTCTTGCCTGAAAGATCTCAGAGAACAATGGAGATATTCAAAATGTTTTTAACCAGCCAGAGTAAAATTGTAACTTAGGTATGTACTTTAAAAACTAGACAAATCCTAGATTTTCAACCTATGGAGTTAAAGGGTTGTTATATACAGTACTGTAGCTCATAAAACTTACTAATTCTTCACAGAGATCCTTGAAAGTGTAACTAAGAACCATTACCATGGGATATAACAAGTGAAATAATAAGAAAAATTTTAAGAGATTCAGCATTTTGAAATTAAAATGTAACTAGAAAAATAATGAAAAATGATTCTTGAATTCCTGCAAGCTAAATCCTGATACAACAGTTTAAGTGTAAAGTTATAAGATTTATAACTTTACACTTATTTGGAGACACTGTATAAAACTTTACTGCACTGTACTTTCCCACAACATCAGCATCTGCGGAGATTAAGCTCTAAATCCCCTCCTCCCTTGACACAAACTCAAACAGTACACAATAGCTGAACAAAAAAAAAATGTGTCTGTAAATTAACAGTCTACAGTGCCATTATTCAGTAATTGTACAAAAGCAACCAATGACTCACAAAAATCATAACATTAATACAAACAAACGAGGGAACAAGCGTGGACGGAACTCACGACGAGTGATTGCTAAACTTTACACACTGATCTGGAGTTAGAGATCTCTTGCCATGGGTTCAATTCCCTCCTGTTCCCTGGTTTATTTAGAAAATTGAATGTTATTTTCTCATTACCTGATAATTAAACCGACGCTGAAATGCCTTCCAAATAAAATCTGGCAGATATTCAAGAACAATGTCTCCGTCAAAGTGTTCACTGTTCAAGTACTAAAACGAAAAGAAATAGTAAAATATATTACAACTGTGTGTGTAAAATGCATAATATTTATCAAAATGACTTTATAAATGTGTAAACACACTTCTACAAAAACATTCAACAGTAAATCTGTCTTGTCATTCAATGTGTGTTGTGACTTGAGGCAGAACTTCCACTCTTGCCTTATAAAACAATAACTTCCACATAAGATTTTAAACTTAGTATTGCAATAACATTGACAAAAATCAGTTTAAATAAAATAAATTAAATAAATACATATATTTAATTTATGTTAAAAAATACCAAACACAATTAAGCAACCATTTATCATTAAAAACTCTTGCTCTTAATGTTCAAAAAATATCAAAGTATTTTATCCACAATGGTAAAGTACCAAACATTCTGAAAAAAACACCCTGACCTTGATCACTGTAAATACTGCAGAACCACTTAAACTTGTGTGTGTCAGACCTAATTCATGTCTGCATAAATAACTCACTATGATTATAAATAAATATAAACATGTAAATAGTTCATTACCATAGTAACTTATTCAGTTATCAAAACTTTGAGGCCCAGTCCCTGGATCCATTATGTATCTCTGTAATGTTGAGGTACAGTCCTTGGACCCATTATGTACTTTTGTAATCTTTTGACTACCATTTACAGGATGGGTACGAGGTGCATAATAAAGATATTAAGCTAACTTTCCCTCATTAAAATTATTGAAAACTTCACCTTATAATTTACAGTGGAACCCAGGTTTTTGTCTTTAATCCGTTCCAGAAGGTCGGCCGAAAACCGATTTGTACTAAAACTGAAGTAATATTTCCCATAAGAAATAATGTAAATCCAATTAATCCGTTCCAGACACCCAAAAATGTTAACAAAAAATACATTTTATGGAGAATAACTATAGTTTTACATACACTACCACCATCACAACCACTACCACCCTCTACCACCATCACTACCACCCTCTACCACCATCACTACAACCTTCTACCTCCATCATTACAACCCTCTACCACCATCACTACCACCTTCTACCACCATCACTACCAACCTCTACCACCATCACTATCAACCTCTACCACCATCACTACCACCCTCTACCACCATCACTACCACCCTCTACCACCATCACTACCACCCTCTACCACCATCACTACCACCCTCTACCACCATCACTACCACCCTCTACAAGTAACAAAGGCAGACTGAGTCATGACCACATGAACGGCCGCGTCCCGCCGGCAGGCGGACGTGTCTGGTATGGACGATTTCTGAGCGGGTGTACGAAAACTGGGGAAAAATTTCGCTGAAAAAAGTGGTCGAAAACTTAACTGTATGATAACCAGACCAGACAAAAACCAGGGTTCCACTGTTTATTATCAAACAAATTTGTCTCTTCATGGGTTGCCTTGAAGCTGCTGAAGGGCTTTTGGTCTAAGGAACTTGGAGTAACTCTCCCCTTTCATAAATCAAATCTGATAACCACTCTCCCCTCTCACACCCCAGGCATTGCATCACCTTCATGGATTCTAAGTAAGTTTATTTAGGTACAGATACACACAAATTATCATACATAGTAACATGTGTAAATTACCTAGGATAACACAAAAAAGCCAAGATAAAGTGACTTATTTCCATTCGGGTCCTTGCCTTGTACACGAATATTGTACAACAACAAATTGTTACATGACTTACCAGTAACTTTGCTGTCATGTAGAGTCTTACTGTTAATTCATGTTGCATATCATCTCGGTGTAATGGCTCAAACTGCACAAAACCTTCCAATACATCAACGAGTTTCTTCAAATAATCCTTGTCCTTTACATGACTCACCCTGAACTTAACAAGTTGAGAGTGTTGTCGTATGCTATTCATATACCTTGACACTGGAAGGTATGGCTCTTTATTTCTCGTCTTGAATACTTTTTCAATTTCTGCAAAAGTCAGTAATCAGTATTACATTCAATAACATAAAATAAACATAAATATGTACAGCATTATATTTGAAGGATGAAACACTTGTGAAACACTTGGGAGTCTTTACTGAGGAAACATTTTTGTCACTACTGGTTTCTTCAGTCCAATACAGAGAAGAACAGTGGAAGATGATGGAGATGATGGAACATTCCAGTAGATATTCCTTGATATTCACTTGAATGTTCCACTCAATTGGATATCTATGCCAGAAAAAATAGAGATCATTTATTGCCTACATAAAGGTAACAGAGCATTTAAACAACTAGGACTGCCTCACAGAATTTGGAATGTATTAACAGAAGCATAGAAGAGAGACACCTGATAACATATACAGTGGACCCCCGATTAACGATATTTTTTCATTCCAGAAGTATGTTCAGGTGCCAGTATTGACCGAATTTGTTCCCATAAGGAATATTGTGAAGTAGATTAGTCCATTTCAGACCCCCAAACATACACGTACAAACGCACTTATATAAATACACTTACATAATTGGTCACATTAGGAGGTGATCGTTAAGCGGAGGTCCACTGTACTTCCAAATACTGGCCATAACATACTGGAGTGAGAAAGATAGTGTAAAATAGTTTCAGTGAAAATAATAAGTACCATCGACACAATAAGAATAGTGTGTCTATATCCATAGACCAAGACTAGTCATCCAGTCACAAACAGAAATTAGAAACATTGCCAGAAAAAGTATAGAAGTTTTCAAGAGGAAACTAGATGACCATCTCTGCCCAGTGTCACAGTAACAAGGAAGGTTAATATGTTTAGGGATCCACCGTGCTGGGTGATAATTTATAATATTTAACGTGTACAATATTAAGTGGGCTAAGATTACCGACTACTAGACACAACTTGGGTATTAGTTTAAATTTTACAATGCGTACAACTTGTGAATAACATAGAATAAATATTTCTTGTGCAAATTGTTATTTGGGTTATGTTTTATTACATTAAAGTTAATTAATTTTGGTTGCACAGCACATCTGAACCAATCAATGCTTTTTAATAAGTAGAGCCTAAAATCAATATTAACTTCCATTCTTCTACAGTACCATATGTTACTAAGTATGATAATTGTACTTCTTGTAACTGTACCTAAATAAACTCATTTGTAAAGAAAAATTTGTCCTTATCTCTTCAGTTCCAATTTTCTTATACTACTTATGTTTACCTGGAGTTTACCTGAGAGAGAGCTCCAGGGGTCAACGCCCCCACAGCCCAGTCTGTGACTAGGCCTCATGGTGGATCAGGGCCTGATCAACCAGGCTGTTACTGCTGGCTGCACACAATTCAACGTACAAACCACAGCCCAGTTGGTCAGGTACCGATTTTAGGTGCTTGTCCAGTGCCTGCTTGAAGACAGCCAGGGGTCTATTGGTAATCCCCCTTATGTATGCTGGGAGGCAGTTGAACAGTCTTCGGTCCCTGACACTTACTGTGTTGTCTCTTAACGTGCTAGTGACACCCTTGCTTTTCATTGGGGGAATGTTGCATCGTCTGCCAAGTCTTTTGCTTTCGTAGGGAGTGATTTTCGTGTGCAAGTTTGGTACAAGCCCCTCTAGGATTTTCCGGGTGTATATAATCATGTATCTCTCCCGCCTGTGTTACAGGGAATACAGGTTCAGAAACCTCAAGCGCTCCCAGTAATTGAGGTGTTTTATCTCTGTTATGCGCGCCGTGAAGGTTCTCTGTACATTTTCTAGGTCAGCAATTTCACCTGCCTTGAAAGATGCTGTTAGCGTGCAGCAATATTCCAGCCTAGATAGAACAAGCGACCTGAAGAATGTCATCATGGGCTTGGCATCCCTAGTTTTAAAGGTTCTCATTATCCATCCTGTGATTTTTCTAGCAGATGCGATTTATACAATGTTATGGTCCTTGAAGCTGAGATCCTCCGACATGATCACTCCCAGGCCACTATGTTACTCCTATTGAGGCTACACTGCTAAAGTTATTTTTATTTTTTCATATTCATCTATAATATTATAATGTCATCAGATCTCTCATCCTCCTAGCAGCCTACAAGGGCATCTTTAACATTTATAGCCTTTTATTCATAATTTTTTTAACTCTGGGACCTGAAGTTTAACCAAGACTCAAATCTACCAATGGCATAGTAAGGCTAAGTCACATTAAGATATATTGGATTAGATGGATTTCATTAGGTTATATTTTTTATTATTTTCACAAAATATTTCGACTGTAAAAACCACTTTAATATTGTATAGATCAAATTAATTATTGGCCGAAATCTACCGAGGAGCAGCATTTTATATTACCAAAATGAAATGACCTTTGTGGAATTAGTGCTTAGTTTTGATCATAATAATACTACCAAAATGAAAATAAAGGTTTAGTTGGGTGGAGACCCTAAACTAGACATAATCAGAAAAAAATAAATTCATGGAGAAAGTCAATATTACAACTACTGCAAATTTAAAAAAAAATATATATGACACGGGGGTCGTCCCACAGTTACTAAAAACAACAGACATAGCCCCACTCCACAAAGGGGGCAGTAAAGCAACAGCAAAGAACTACAGACCAATAGCACTAACATCCCATATCATAAAAATCTTTGAAAGGGTCCTAAGAAGCAAGATCACCACCCATCTAGAAACCCATCAGTTACACAACCCAGGGCAACATGGGTTTAGAACAGGTCGCTCCTGTCTGTCTCAACTATTGGACCACTACGACAAGGTCCTAAATGCACTAGAAGACAAAAAGAATGCAGATGTAATATATACAGACTTGCAAAAGCCTTCGACAAGTGTGACCATGGCGTAATAGCGCACAAAATGCGTGCTAAAGGAATAACAGGAAAAGTCGGTCGATGGATCTATAATTTCCTCACTAACAGAACACAGAGAGTAGTCGTCAACAGAGTAAAGTCCGAGGCAGCTACGTGTGAAAAGCTCTGTTCCACAAGGCACAGTACTCGCTCCCATCTTGTTCCTCATCCTTATATCCGACATAGACAAGGATGTCAGCCACAGCACCGTGTCTTCCTTTGCAGATGACACCCGAATCTGCATGACAGTGTCTTCCATTGCAGACACTGCAAGCTCCAGGCAGACATCAACCAAATCTTTCAGTGGCTGCAGAAAACAATATGAAGTTCAACGATGAGAAATTTCAATTACTCAGATATGGTAAACATGAGGAAATTAAATCTTCATCAGAGTACAAAACAAATTCTGGCCACAAAATAGAGCGAAACACCAACGTCAAAGACCTGGGAGTGATCATGTCGGAGGATCTCACCTTCAAGGACCATAACATTGTATCAATCGCATCTGCTAGAAAAATGACAGGATGGATAATGGAACCTTCAAAAATAGGGAGGCCAAGCCCATGATGACACTCTTCAGGTCACTTGTTCTATCTAGGCTGGAATATTGCTGCACACTAACAGCACCTTTCAAGGCAGGTGAAATTGCCGACCTAGAAAATGTACAGAGAACTTTCACGGCGCGCATAACGAGATAAAACACCTCAATTATTGGGGGCGCTTGAGGTTCCTAAACCTGTATTCCCTGGAACGCAGGAGGGAGAGATACATGATTATATACACCTGGAAATCCTAGAGGGACTAGTACCGAACTTGCAAAACGAAAATCACTCACTACGAAAGCAAAAGACTTGGCAGACGATGCAACATCCCCCAATGAAAAGCAGGGGTGTCACTAGCACGTTAAGAGACCATACAATAAGTGTCAGGGGCCCGAGACTGTTCAACTGCCTCCCAGCACACATAAGGGGGATTACCAACAGACCCCTGGCAGTCTTCAAGCTGGCACTGGACAAGCACCTAAAGTCAGTTCTGGATCAGCCGGGCTGTGGCTCGTACGTTGGTTTGCGTGCAGCCAGCAGCAACAGCCTGGTTGATCAGGCTCTGATCCACCAGGAGGCCTGGTCACAGACCGGGCCGCGGGGGCGTTGACCCCCGGAACTCTCTCCAGGTAAACTCCAGGTAAACCTAGCCATGAAGACAGGACCCAAATTGAAATGTTATTTTGATTGTTTTGGGGATTATCCAAGGTAATTTACACGTATGTTAAACTATGTTTGATAATTGTACATATGTATATCTGTACCTAAATAATCTTACTAACCATGTTATTTTCATATATAGGGGGAAGTGCTAAACCCATAAAATCTATGGGTCCTAATGGAAATGTCACTGATTTTTTTAGTTTATCCTTGATAAGTTTATTTAAGTAGAGTTACACATAAATAAAGTTACATAGATTATCATACATAGCAGCATATGTGTAGGTTAACCAGGATAACCAAAAAAAAGTCAGTGACTTATTTCCATTGGGTAATTTACACTTGTTATTATTTTTGATAACTGTTTTCAGTTAAATTTGCATAAATGTACTGTGTGTACCTGTACCTTAATCTCCTTAATTACTCTGAGATTAAGTAACTTTATTTAGGTAAACTCCAAGTAAACTCCAGTTACAGGTACACACAAGTACAAATATTTTACCTAGTAACATGTATGTAAATTAACCTTCAGGATACCCCCCCCCCCAAAAAAAAAAAAGTCAGTGACTTATTTCCACTGAGGTGCCTGGGATACGGGAAGTAATCAGGCTTAATCTAAGGGAAGGGCAGGTCTAATCCCTTGGATCAAGAGCTTTTCAATGTCATGGATGATTAGACTGTTTATGGGAAGCACTAAACCCATAGGAATCATACACTGCCCGGGCGATAATCAGCTTCCATGTAATGGATATTTTATTGAATCTATAACAAAATTAAATGAATCTTTAATTGGAAGTTGAGGATAAGCCCATTTCCTTGGATCAAGAGCGTCTCACCAGGCTCAAGGAATATATTAAAAAAAGTGAAGGTGCCAGGGAGGCCCCTAGAGGTGACCCCCAGGATATTATTGTAATTATTACATTCTTGGGGGGAGCAGTAAACTCGTAGGGGGTCATAGTGCCTGGGAGAGTGGATTACAATCATGTTGAAGGCAAGAGAGATAATAAGCTCCAACACCGTGGATGAAGATCCCTTCACCGGCCACCCACATGGTGGACCACGTGCAGGATCTTGCAACAGCAGTTGCAACAATTAACTTTGACTGGTCTATAATCATAATTATAATTTTAAAGTAGTGGAAGAGTAAGCAATAGTTATCTAACAGCCTCTAACAAGTCTGGCGGTGATAACTTACTTGAACACAAGTAATTATATTCATGTTTGATGGAGTATTCGTATATCCAAGACAACATACGTTCCTCCTCAGTCAGGCTGTCCATCCTGCTGACACTGTTGCTGCCAGGCCACTGCTGCTGACACTGTTGCTGTCAGGTCTCTGCTGCTGACACTGTTGCTGTCAGGTCTCTGCTGCTGACACTGTTGCTGCCAGGCCACTGCTGATGACACTGTTGCTGCCAGGCCACTGCTGATGACACTGTTGCTGCCAGGCCACTGCTGATGACACTGTTGCTGCCAGGCCACTGCTGCTGACACTGTTACTGCCAGGCCACTGCTGATGACACTGTTGCTGTCAGGTCTCTGCTGCTGACACTTGCTGCCAGGCCACTGCTGATGACACTGTTGCTGCCAGGCCACTGCTGATGACACTGTTGCTGCCAGGCCACTGCTGCTGACACTGTTACTGCCAGGCCACTGCTGATGACACTGTTGCTGCCAGGCCACTGCTGATGACACTGTTCAAATTCAAATTCAAAGTTTATTCTCTATAAGGATTACAATGCTGAGTTTACAGAATTTGGTTATTGTGTGGTTTACATGTAGTTAAATAATGATTACAGAGTGTACCACTAGAGCACCTAGCATGGCTAGGCATTACAGAGTGTACCACTAGAACGCCTAGCATGGCTAGGCATTACAGAGTGTACCACTAGAGCACCTAGCATGGCTAGGCATTACAGAGTGTACCACTAGAGCACCTAGCATGGCTAGGCATTACAGAGTGTACCACTAGAACGCCTAGCATGGCTAGGCATTACAGAGTGTACCACTAGAGCACCTAGCATGGCTAGGCATTACAGTGTACCACTAGAACGCCTAGCATGGCTAGGCATTACAGAGTGTACCACTAGAGCACCTAGCATGGCTAGGCATTACAGAGTGTACCACTAGAACGCCTAGCATGGCTAGGCATTACAGAGTGTACCACTAGAGCACCTAGCATGGCTAGGCATTACAGAGTGTACCACTAGAACGCCTAGCATGGCTAGGCATTACAGAGTGTACCACTAGAGCACCTAGCATGGCTAGGCATTTCGGGCAGACTTAGTTTAATTCTTTATTTTAAAATATTACAAATTATGAGGTAAGTTGGTATTATGGCTAAGTGACTAAATACTAGTTTGTGAGTTTAGCAATGTGAATGCTTTTGTTTTGGCACAGTACATAGTTTCAGTCTTGGAGTATCACAGGATTCATTATTTTAAGATTGAGATTAATATTTCTGTTTATGGTCAAATGGGTGAGTGAGTGTAAGTGTGAACCACCAGGTGGTATTTGTGTAGTTAGTTGATGGGGTGTATCAGGGAGATAAGATGTTTTCTAATGGTAGTTTTGAAGGTGATGAATGTGTCTGCAGTTCTAGAGTTCTCAGGTAGGGTGTTCCAGATTTTAGGGCCTTTGACATACATTGAATTTTTGTAAAGGTTTAGTCGGACATGGGGAATGTCGTAGAGATGTTTGTGTCTGGTGTTATGCCTGTGGGTTCTGTCACAACTATCAAGAAAGCGTTTTAGGTCAAGGTTGATATTAGAGTTTAAGGTCCTGTAGATGTAGATTGCACAGTAGTAAGTGTGGATGTACTGAACAGGGAGTAAGTTTAGGTCTTGTAGATGAATGGTTCAGAGAACCGACATGTTGATAAATTAGACACATGTACAACTCTTGGGTATCTTTATTGAGGAAACGTTTCCTCAATAAAGATACCCAAGAGTTGTACATGTGTCTAATTTATCAACATGTCGGTTCTCTGAACCATTCATCTACAAACCTGTCAGACACTGCAACTTCTTGGGATCTTAATACTTGGGAATTCTTCGCTTGCCTAATTCTTGGGCACGACCTACTTCAACATTGAACAAATGTTACACGACCTATGACTGCTACACCTCTCCTGCCAACGGTTTATAAGCTCCTCAGCACGTATGCCGTATTCTATTCAAGATTGATGGACTGACCACATCGACTCAAGGTTGAGGGACTGATTACCTCATTCTCCTCCTGTTCTTCAAGATTCTCCTTTGTATGGACTGATGAAGCCACTGTGTGGCGAAACGTTTCCTCAATAAAGATACCCAAGAGTTGTACATGTGTCTAATTTATCAAGTTTAGGTCTATGAAGAGTGGGGGGGGGGGGTTGCCAGGGATGGGATTTAGTGATTATTCTTACTGCAGCTTTTTGTTGGGTTTGCAGAGATTGGTGGATGAATTTGGTAGGGTGTGCAAAAGAAGAAAATTAAAGGTGAATACAGGAAAGAGTAAGGTTATGAGGATAACAAAAAGATTAGGTGATGAAAGATTGAATATCAGATTGGAGGGAGAGAGTATGGAGGAGGTGAATGTATTCAGATATTTGGGAGTGGACGTGGTCAGCGGATGGGTCTATGAAAGATGAGGTGAATCATAGAATTGATGAGGGAAAAAAGATGTGAGTGGTGTGCGCTTAGGAGTCTGTGGAGACAAAGAACTTTGTCCTTGGAGGCAAAGGAGGGGAATGTATGAGAGTATAGTTTTACCAACGCTCTTATATGGGTGTGAAGCATGGGTGTGAATGTTGCAGCGAGGAGAAGGCTGGAGGCAGTGGAGATGTCATGTCTGAGGGCAATGTGTGGGTGTGAATATAATGCAGAGAATTCGTAGTTTGGAAGTTAGGAGGAGGTGCGGGATTACCAAAAACTGTTGTCCAGAGGGCTGAGGAAGGGTTGTTGAGGTTTGGTTCGGACATGTAGAGAGAATGGAGCGAAACAGAAAGACTTCAAGAGTGTATCAGTCTGTAGTGGAAGGAAGGCGGGGGTAGGGGTCGGCCTAGGAAAGGTTGGAGAGAGGGGGTAAAGGAGGTTTTGTGTGCGAGGGGCTTGGACTTCCAGTAGGTATGCATGAGCGTGTTTGATAGGAGTGAATGGAGACAAATGGTTTTTAATACTTGACGTGCTGTTGGAGTGTGAGCAAAGTAACATTTATGAAGGGGTTCAGGGAAACCGGCAGGCCGGACTTGAGTCCTGGAGATGGGAAGTACAGTGCCTGCACTCTGAAGGAGGGGTGTTAATGTTGCAGTTTAAAAACTGTAGTGTAAAGCACCCTTCTGGCAAGACAGTGATGGAGTGAATGATGGTGAAAGTTTTTCTTTTTCGGGCCACCCTGCCTTGGTGGGAATCGGCCAGTGTGATAATAATAATAATAAAAATTATTGGCTTTAGGTGTGTTGCTGCAGTTGATCCCCAAGCACAAATAGCATAGGTGAGGTATGGATAAATAAGTGAGTGGTATAGTGTGAGAAGGGCATTTTGCGGCACGTAGTATCGTATCTTGGAGAGGATCCCAACCGTTTTGGATACTTTTTTGGTTATATGCTGGATATGGGTGCTGAAATTCAGGTTGTTGTCAAGGTATAAGCCTAGGAATTTGTTGCCAGGCCACTGCTGCTGACACTGTTACTGCCAGGCCACTGCTGATGACACTGTTGCTGCCAGGCCACTGCTGATGACACTGTTGCTGCCAGGCCACTGCTGATGACACTGTCGCTGTTGTCAGGTCACTGATACTGCTGCTGACACTTGCCGCCAGGTCACTGCTGCTGACACTGTTGCTGTTGTCAAGCCACTGACACTTGCTGCCAGGTCACTGCTGCTGACACTGTCCCTCTTGTCAGGTCACTGACACTTCTGTTGACACTGTTGCTGTCATGTCACCGCTGCTGACACTGTTGCTGTCAGGTTACTGCTGTTCCTGACACTTATTATTCACAAGTAACAACTTAACAAACTCTTAAACGTTAGATTACGTGAGGCCAGCAGTAACATCCTGGTTGATCAGGCCCTGATCCACCATGAGGCCTGGTCACAGACCGGGCCGCGGGGGCGTTGACCCCCAGGTATACTCCAGGTATACCGAACTTGAGGTTTATACATGATATAAATACAACCTGACTAATTATACACAACTTTTGTCAGTTGTATAAATAAACCAGATACACAACTATCACTTGTAATGTTGATAAATGTTGATAAATGTTGATAAATGTTGATACAGACGAGACGCTGAAAAACACACTTCAAAAATTGGAATTTAAATGTATTAGCGGAAATTTGTCGCCAAGTGATCAATCCTGAAGAAGCCAGTAATAATAATAATAATAATAATAATAATAATAATAATAATAATAATAATAATAATAATAATAATAATAATAATAATAATAATAATACAGACCATAGCTGACACCCATGATATACTACTATATAAAAAGCCGCTTGTTATGCTGAGCATTTCCAGCAAATTAGGTTAGTTTTTTCCCAGGATGCGACCCACACCAGTCCACTAACACCCAGGTACCTATTATTACTGATAGGTGAACATAGACAATCGGTGTAAGGAAACACGCCCAATGTTTCTACCCTTGTTGGGAATCGAACCCGGAACCTCACCGTGTGAAGCGATAGCTTTATTAGACATTTATTACAAGGCACCGTAATAAATGTCCTGAACTGTACATAAGACTCTTTTTTCCACAACTTGCATAGCTATTTATCCTCTACTTTGATTATTACTAATAAAACAAAAATTAATATACCGTGTACAGTACATGAAATGATATAGGACAGCACAGGTTCGGTAACAGTTGTGGATGAGTGGAATAAACTCCCGAGTAATGTTATTGAAGCTAAAACCTTATGCTTTAAAAATAGACAAATACATGAGTAGGTGTGAGTTAGACCTGCCTAGCATGGGTCAGTATGCCCCCTGCAGTGCTCCTCTCATGTGTCCATGTGCAAAACAACCATATAGGGGGAGCTGAATAATAGCTCTAGAGCTCTTGTGTTGTAGTCAACACATCATCACGAGCTTGCAATTTTCCAGAAAAAAATGAGAAATTCCAAGAAAATACGTTTAGAGGATGGAACAATATTGTTCCAGGCCATGGAACTGAACTCTTCTCCACCCATAGTACCCATGGTACCTTCCGTACCCATCGTTCCAGATCATGGAACTGAACTCTTCTCCACCCATGGTACCCATGGTACCTTCCGTACCCATCGTTCAAGACCATGGAACTGAACTCTTCTCGAAATTCAATTTCATTAACAAAAACATACAGTGGGGTCAAGTAAACCATGTCCTAAATGAAACAAGCTGAGAAGATATTCTAAACAACACGGATCTGAACATTTGCCTTGAGAAAAAATGAATTCTGTGGTTCTTGAGATTTGCTAAAGACACATTCCATTAAGAAAAAGAAAGAGAAGATGTAAACTAGAAAGAGAGAGACATTCCCTATACAGACGAAGGCGAAGAGTCACAGAGCTACTGAGTGGGGGTCAA